CACCGGGGTGTGGTATCTTGTGTACCCCCGGTGATAAATCATGGTCTGAAAAATACACCCAAAATTACCACCGGGGTGTGGTATTGTGGGGGGGGTGTGGTATCTTATGAGGGTGTGGTATCTTGTGTAGAATACGGTAGTTCAGTTGTGAGCACGCAAACGTGCTGCAGGAATTATTGCAGGTGTACCTCCTCGGGCTTGCGTACCCTTTCCTTGCTAATAGTGTGGGTGTTCTTCAGATCTTCTGATGGCTCTAGCATTTTTGTGACCACGGACCGAGTCTTTGCTAGATTTTGGGATTAGCAACTGACACGAATTAATGTGAAGAAAAATAACAAACAACAACAACAACCTAATATCCATGTAGTCACACTAAAAGAAAAACTGAGGGAAGCTTTGAAACTTGCGTTTGAATACCAGGCAGACCCAAAAGTACGGATTTAACTCCATGTTAATAACGAGGGGAACCGCAGCTGATGAAAAGGCACCAGTTGTTGGAGAAGTTTCATGGTCGTAGGAAATCCCGCGTAATGTAAATTACAATGTAGGCGGTAAGCACTTTGTGGGCTGGGAACGGATCGGTACATGGGTCGACTTTGCTCCAGATGAAGGGTTTGTACAATTTGGGAATGGCATGTACCAACAAGCCTCCGGAATCTTGATGGAAACGGCTCCGGCCCCAGTCCTAGCGAACGTATTTGCATCTATTTATGCATTAATTCCAGTTTTTAAACGAAATGGTAGATGAGCATCTAGTAGCCAAGACTGCCGGACTTACACCTCTTTACCCTTTCGAATTTATAGAACAATTTAGTATTGGTACAAAGAGGTACATAGACGACATTTTCACTATGCAGTAGAATTTTAGCAAGCTTACGAACGCATATAGGATACCATGAGGATTGTCATTTTATTTTATTTTATTTATTTTTTATTTTNGAACAATTTAGTATTGGTACAAAGAGGTACATAGACGACATTTTCACTATGCAGTAGAATTTTAGCAAGCTTACGAACGCATATAGGATACCATGAGGATTGTCATTTTATTTTATTTTATTTATTTTTTATTTTTTTGCCTTCCGACAATTGCAGATGTACCTCAGAACACTTTCACTTAATGGCTCATACTCTACATGAATATTAAACCAAAACGAAGTTCAACAACATATGTCGGACTTATTTCTACTGTCACTTACATCGTAAAAATATCTCCTCTTCAACTTGAAATACCAATGACAATTATTATTATTTTGTTTGCCCTCCGACAATTGCAGATAAATGCAGACATTCATAAAAAGTCGATCGTAAAGGCCGTCATGCCAAGCCAAATTAACTCGATGCCCAATAGCTAGGAATGTGTGCCTCTAAGTCAACAAAACTTTGGTCGAAACACTACGGCTGAACTCTAGGCAAGAACCTTAGATGCAGAAAAACGAACAAAACCACAACCTCATCCACCCGAAATCAAACAATACTCGGCCCCGTTTTCCCTGGTACCCCTGACACCGTATTGAACAGAATCCTCATGATATCCTATATGCGTTCGTAAGCATATAGGATACCATGAGGATTGTCATTGGTTTCATTTCAAGTTGAAGTGGAGATATTTTCACGATGTAAGTGACAGTAGAAATAAGTCCTACACATGTTGTTCTACTTCGTATTGGTTTAATATTCACGTAGAGTATGAGACATTAAGTGCAAGTTTTCTGAGGTACATCTGCAATTAACAACATACTGGTGAAACTGAGAGCGAAGCATGAAATTGAGAGCGAGAGCTAAAAATTTAAATTCGGGTCAAGACGCCCCTTGGCATTTCTTGGCAAGTAGGGGGCGGGCTCTTCCAAGAAGCGGCCCAAATTGAAGGTCTAATCAGCAGCGTCACGGGCATATGCGTGTCATCGTTATCGGATGCTGCAGCTAGGAGCTAGGCACGTTGCTAGATTTCCCCAGATTGGCCATTCCTGCCTCAAACTGTTGCAGGGCGGTGTGGCCTCGGGCGGTGGCCTCTGCTGTAGGTTCTGCTCGCCGCTGTAACTCCACATCGAGAGACTCCCACAGGATGATCAGGGTATCTGCTTGTAGCTACGGGCTGGCCCTCAATTCAAGCCACACAGCAAGCTCCACCTCTCAGCAGTATTCCAGCTGCAGCGCATCGCGCAATCTCGCTCTCAATTTCATGCTTCGCTCTCAATTTCATGCTTCGCTCTCAATTTCACCAATACTTCGAAGTTGTTTATCGTCGGAAGGCCAAAAAAAAAATATGTATGATATGGTAACCAGAGTCGGCCAAATTTGGAAGACATTATCTGAAAGGGCGATGGTAAATGTGGTGGTATGTACCCGGTAACGGTTTTAGACACGGATGGAAAAGATATAGAAAGCCCGGTTCGTATTACTCGAAAAGAGTGTAAGGAGTCTGCACATTTTCTGGATATGCAAATTGGGCAGGATATTCCGGGTAAGACGCATATTGGGATGTATAATAAGCGCCAACATATGGTTACGTTCCAGAAATACCGGAGACATTATTGTCTACTAGCTGTACGATGTCTACTTTACATTTTTTATTTTTTTTGCCATCCGACAATTGCAGATGTACCTCAGAAAACTTTCACGTAATGTCTCATACTCTACATGAATATTAAACCAATACGAAGTACAACAACATATGTAGGACTTATTTCTACTGTCATTTACATCGTAAAAATATCTCCTCTTCAACTTGAAATAAAACCAATGACAATCCTGATGGTATCCTATATGCGTTCGTAAGCTTGCTAAAATACTACTGCGTTGATGTCCTCTTGTAAAAAAAGCTGAAATCCAACAAATGCTTTGATCCATGCTCTACATCTCCGTGTTGGAAAAGCCCTTTCATCTCCGTTCATGATAACATCTTACCCTATTCTACGCAAATCTGTCACATCTACTCTCAAACAAGACGCCAACTTCAAACGAAAACGCGTTCTACGATGCGTCTACACTCCATCCCCATATCATTGGCGTTGACTGGTCCGAGGTCGATCTTGTTCGCCTGTTTTCGGCGTCTTGACGCCCGCGCAATGCGAGCTTGTACCTCTGCACTCGCCGAGATATGGCCACCTGTGTAGCCACCGAAACGATCTGAAGAAGTCGTTCCTTGAAGACTCCTTTCAGAGCCATCGTTCCTCCGTCCCTTCCTCCCACGGCATGTGTCGCAAGTTCATCGATGAACTCGTAACCCTCCTCTCCAAGGCGGCCAAAGCTTTCCACGGCTAAGGTGGTAAGTTTACATTTATGTACTTGTTTTTGCCTTCCGACAATTGCAGATGTACCTCAGAAAACTTGCACTTAATGTCTCATACTCTACATGAATATTAAACCAATACGAAGTACAACAACATATGTAGGACTTATTTCTACTGTCATTTACATCGTAAAAGTATCTCCTCTTCAACTTACCAATGACAATCCTGATGGTATCCTATATGCGTTCGTAAGCTTGCTAAAATACTACTGCGTTGATGTCCGCTTGTAAAAGCTGAAATCCAACAAATGCTTTGATCCATGCTACATCTCCGTGTTGGAAAAGCCCTTTCATCTCCGTTCATGATAACATCTTACCCTATTCTACGCAAATCTGTCACATCTACTCTCAAACAAGACGCCAACTTCAAACGAAAACGCGTTCTACGATGCGTCTACACTCCATCCCCATATCATTGGCGTTGACTGGTCCGAGGTCGATCTTGTTCGCCTGTTTTCGGCGCCTTGACGCCCGCGCAATGCGAGCTTGTACCTCTGCACTCGCCGAGATATGGCCACCTGTGTAGCCACCGAAACGATCTGAAGAAGTCGTTCCTTGAAGACTCCTTTCAGAGCCATCGTTCCTCCGTCCCTTCCTCCCACGGCATGTGTCGCAAGTTCATCGATGAACTCGTAACCCTCCTCTCCAAGGCGGCCAAAGCTTTCCACGGCTAAGGTGGTAAGTTTAAAGCTGCGTTCGTCAAAGGACACGTGTCCCGGACGAGCGTAGTGCTGACGCTTTCGCGCCTCGGATGCTTGGGCTGCGATTCCATCGCTGGTCGCGCTGCCGTTCCGCAAGTGTACCTGTGCTTGCGGGTCTGCGTGTGTGACATCGAGGAGTATTCCTTTGTTGCGGTACCCCGGAGAATATGCGTTCGTGAGGGCTCCTGGCCTGATGACGATGTCCATGCTCAGGTTTCTTTCCCCCGTGAACGGTGCCCCGCTTTCAACGTCGTGTTTGACGCGAAGGCCGTTGAGTGCTCTCGATAGTGCGTATTTTAACGGCTCGTGCATGTTGACCTGTGCTCCATCCCTTCGACAGGTCCTTGCGTGCACCGTTGTGATGATCTCGCCTTCCCTGCCTCTGTGGCACCTGGGACATCTTTCCGCCAAGAATTCTTGAACTCCCAAGGCGCGGCTCGTCGCGTAGACGAATTCGTTCGATGGAATCTCTCGAGCTCGGTCGGTGGGAGCCGCTCTCAGGAACGCGTGCCCCCCTTGCCCTTGCGAGCTTCTCGTTCATGCGTATGCCATGTTCCTGGCCTCTTGACCTCCGTAGGGGTTGTCCCGCGTGGGTGGTACCGCCTCCTGGGGGAGGTGCTCCAGAGACTTACATGGTCAAATGTGCCGATTTGCCATACGATGTACTGATGTTCGAAATTTTCAGGCAGCAACGGCCAGACTTATGGACGACATGTTTGCACGCTTCTATTCTTAGATTTATTCACAACACTTTGCATAATTTCTCGTATACGTTTTTTCGAACATCGCCGGTTACTATGAACATTGGTAAAAAAAAAAAAAATGAACATTGGGAACGTTCATGTACCCACAGTCAGAAATTCGTACTGGCTTAGAGTCGAGACGGGTATCTGCAAGCGTAAAGATGAAAAGAACTTTGTGGTGGAGGGATAATAAATGGTCTTAGCATCGGATGGGAGATGGACACCCTGTGAAAATGGAATGTGAAAGTAATGCTGTAATATGTATGATCAGAACTAACTGTGCGACATGGTTAATGAAATAATTGATGCAACAACAACAACGCGGAATTCAACGCCAACATTACACATTCTAACGTTTACATCTAACCTGTCAACGAAAATAATCTGCCTACCATATCACGATGAAAACTAATGAAAAGGCACATTGTAGTATGTAGCGATGCAAAGGTGTGCGGACAACCGCATATTTGACCATCGAAACCGCAAGGGGGAACACTGAAAATGAAACATTTCCCTTGCAAGTAGAGTGAGAAACTTACGACCGACTTCCTCGCAAAAATTCCCATGCATCCAGGTGACAATGGCCACTACTGGAAATGCCGAAATGCCGCCAAATTCCGCCGAACCAGAATTTTACCCTTGAAAGAGTCAGCCAAGTATGCACATGAAGGAGCGCACACGCAGCCATTCGTCTGAGCTACTCCCCCACCTCTCCCGGTCGGAGCTAAAGCCGTAANACCGCATATTTGACCATCGAAACCGCAAGGGGGAACACTGAAAATGAAACATTTCCCTTGCAAGTAGAGTGAGAAACTTACGACCGACTTCCTCGCAAAAATTCCCATGCATCCAGGTGACAATGGCCACTACTGGAAATGCCGAAATGCCGCCAAATTCCGCCGAACCAGAATTTTACCCTTGAAAGAGTCAGCCAAGTATGCACATGAAGGAGCGCACACGCAGCCATTCGTCTGAGCTACTCCCCCACCTCTCCCGGTCGGAGCTAAAGCCGTAAAATTCGGATCCAGCCGTTGTGCGATACGTAATCATCTCCGTTAGGATTTGAGGGGAACGGATTCTAAAGCTGTAGAGAAGCACTGCGCATGTTTGCTCCTTCCTACTGCTGCTCNCACGATGAAAACTAATGAAAAGGCACATTGTAGTATGTAGCGATGCAAAGGTGTGCGGACAACCGCATATTTGACCATCGAAACCGCAAGGGGGAACACTGAAAATGAAACATTTCCCTTGCAAGTAGAGTGAGAAACTTACGACCGACTTCCTCGCAAAAATTCCCATGCATCCAGGTGACAATGGCCACTACTGGAAATGCCGAAATGCCGCCAAATTCCGCCGAACCAGAATTTTACCCTTGAAAGAGTCAGCCAAGTATGCACATGAAGGAGCGCACACGCAGCCATTCGTCTGAGCTACTCCCCCACCTCTCCCGGTCGGAGCTAAAGCCGTAAAATTCGGATCCAGCCGTTGTGCGATACGTAATCATCTCCGTTAGGATTTGAGGGGAACGGATTCTAAAGCTGTAGAGAAGCACTGCGCATGTTTGCTCCTTCCTACTGCTGCTCGAGACTGACTTGGGCCCTCCAAAACTCCGACAGGTACGAACAAACTCCTTCGTGTTTGGTCGAAGATGGACTGCGTGTTTGTACAAGCCCAACATGCCACCATGCACAGCATACTGCTGCTGCCGTTCACCTGTCGCCGCCCTTCCACGTCTACCTGTCCATGAGACATGCTGCCACTTGATGCGACAACATCTGGCAACAACACGGACACAGGGAGTACTCCCCCTACCCATACACACACCGTCAAAACTGCTTAATATAGTCTAAGTTTGAACAACCTCTCATTCCTCTCTTTCCACATACTTTTCTACTCTTGTTCTTTTTCTCTTTTTCTCTCTTTTTCTGTGCCAGATGGCCTTGTCCCTGCTTGCGTTGTGAGGTACCAAGATTGAACCAAGGGGGTGTACCTCATTCTCTTCGACCCGTGATGGTGACTCCTAGTCTCAGTTGTTACCTCGCATAGCGCGCAGAGGGAGTGGAGGACTGCAGAATATCTGTCGTTGATTTCTATTGACTTGCGGACCCCTCGGAGCAATTTTATTTGAGTGTACCTTTTTAGGGTAAGTTAACCTGCGACGACGGGAATCGACCGCGTCGAGTGTTGTATCAGTACGGACATACGAAGGTACTGGGTAGAGAGAGATCGGAACGATTTTTAATGTGAAGACAACAACAACAACACACAACACACAACACACAAATGATGTAGGTGCATGAAATGATACACTCTGTCTTTGCGGTCCGCGCTGCCTACAAATTAATGGGAAAGGTAGCTATACCTTCTGCCGACACACGGGCGAGAGAGGCGACCATATCCACTGCATTTAACACACACCCACATGTCAGTGATGAAACCCCAACCACACGCCTCTATCGGCGGCCACGTCAGGAGGCAATGATGAGATAATGTTCTCCCGTGCCCTACTCACATTTAACGACATGCCGTTACACAACAAGGTAAATATGTTCTCCCGCGCCGCACATGCCCCCATACGTCACACACAAAAAATAAGTTGACGAAAATATACACACCGCGAGACGCGCTTACCCCGCAAGCACATAAGGGTGCCATAATAGAACACCCGACAAACCGAGTTCCCCTAAATCTTTCGTCTACAACTTCCCAACATAACATTCACATAGATACACTCGATGACTACCAAACTGTCTTGTTGAGCCTGTCACCAACAGGGGAGATATCGTTGTATGCTGTCTGGGAAACCGTAGACATACAGGTAGCCTTTAGCTCACGCTATGCATTCATTGCTTATCTATCTTAGACTTATTTCTATAGAGACGAGATGGACTTGTTGTGTGATATTAAGAAAAAAAAACAAGATTCCGAAACGACAACGGTTATTCCGTGGACAACCCTCCGCGTATGTGCTGCAAAGGTTCATTTTTTTCGCACCAACCTCGTCCGAAACGACAAATCAGCAACGTTAAGCTGCTGCTGTCACCACGTGCACCTTTTGGTGTGCCACCGACCTCATTGAGATCGACAAACCAAAAACGTAAACCTGCTGCTGTCATCACGCGCACCTTCTTAGCATATATACCATAATAAACGCACACATACGGGTCCCAGGTCATGGGCTTGGCAACATTGTAATTTCCTGTTTCCACACTATTTAGGACAGTTCTTCAGTCAGTCGGTTTGCATGATCGGTGATAACAATCACACCAAGGACTCACACAATCTTCCCTGCTCTCGATACATCGAAGGAACGCAAGAAAAAGCGAGATTTTCCTTCGCTTTCACCGCTATTTACATAGCAGGATGATTCACGAACATCAGTATTATCGCCAAAGATGATTCGGGTGCCATAATGAGTTTCTTTCTTTCACTGTAGAGTAAAAGGGCTGTTGAGCTTCCCCGGAATGGTCTGATCCGTGTATGGCCAGTGCCACTACCGTGGGGTGTATCCTTTGCGATATTCAATGTGAAGGATATCTCGAAATTTCAGGCTACCAACGTGTTTGTTCCACCCAGTTGCTTTTCTACAGTAAAGTCTGGGAATCGACAGGGTAGGATTCACTCGTATCGTGTCAAGGTCTGCCCACGCTGCCCACGCATACAGTTTTTTTGGATGTAAAGTTAGCCATTGCAGTGCCTACTGTGTGCAGAGGCTAAAACAGTGACGGAAAAGAAGACTTGTTTTAGACAAGTCTAGATGGTTTGAATTAGCACTTATTTTGGCCGAAAGGTAAGAGAAAGTGAGAGTCCCGAGACTCACAAGAGCCCCGAAGGATCTCGAAGGAGCCAAGCGTCTTAGTAGATATACGAACAACGGAAAGAGGGAGAGGGTGAGAGAGTGGGGGGAGCACGACGGGGGCGAGCCATCAATCCTTATCCCGGAAGAAAGGCACATGCAGGCTGTTAGTCAAACCTGTAACCACGTCACAAAGAGTTCGCACCCTTTTCTTCAATGGTTGTTGTTTCGTTGGTAGGTGTGTACAATGATCCGATTACTGAATCAACATTCCTAAGACTATTCCCAAAATATTGCTTAGGTGATTATCCAAGTTCTCCTATGGTTAACAACAGTTTAAATACTAATGACTGACGTTGAGTACTCCAACAATGTCCGCCACCTCTTGGGGGTCTCCAAGCCCAGAAGACATTCACACACAGGCGCTCATTCACGGGGTCCCAGATCATGACTTCTAGAAGATTTATTTTTTCAACCGCCCTGAAGTATTTTTCATTGGTCAGCCGGTTAGAGCAGCAGCGTCAGCGAAATGCCTCAGCATAAAAGTCGGCGATCTCCGTGACATGTCCCCGCCTTAGCTATCATGCCTCCGCAAAAAACCTGGGGATCTCTTGAAAAAATGTCCCGCTCCCACCCCCGAAACCCAGATTTTCGATTTGGGGGCTTGTGCGCGTTGAAAAACAATCGG